TAAAAGTTAAGAGTAAAGACAAAAGTCGATGCAGAAAGTTGTAAAATTTATATTTGTTGTTAGTATTGTATTTTAACACTTGATGTAAGTGTATGTGGTTTTGTTTTGTTTTTCTCTTGTTTTCTTTTGCTATTGTGTGTTTGGTTTTAAAAATGTAAAATACTCAATAATTTAAAAAAATAAATAAATAAAAGAGGGGTGTCAAACTCAATTTCATTGAGGGCCGCATCAGGGTTGTGCTTGACCTCAGGGGCGGGGGCATGGCCAAGGTAGGTGTGGCGAGCTTGACGTCACTCATGTCAGGGGCGCCTGTGGTGGCCCAAATGCTCTGCCGGTGAAAACGGGCTCCCAAGCTCCGTTTTTAAATGCCACGGCCTCCTGTAACCGTCTACCAGTGAAAACGGAGCTCAGGAGCCCATTTTCGCTGGCAGAAGCACCGCAGGCCAGTCCTTTGCTGTTTCTAAGTACCCTTGGGCCGGATCTGGCCCCCAGGCCTTGAGTTTGACACCGCTGGGTTAAAAGAAACACAACATGTAATACACTATATTTTAAACCCATTCCAGATTTAAAAGCCTGTTTCTTTAGGTCTACTGCTTGTTAGGGAATCTCAATGCAGAAAAGCTCATTAGGAATGTTTTCTGCAGATGACCTCTTGCTGTTTTATTACTATAAGCTCATCTTATAAAAGTTTTTAACCTTTCAAAAATATTTTAATGATAATTTTCTCTTTACTTATTCCCTCTTAAAGTTAATTCTTCCTCACTCGATTAACAAATAAGGAAATATTTTTGGATAGAGAAAAGGAAGGAAGAAAGGTCTGAATTTTAAATGTTTCTAAATGCTGACTTATATGTACTTTGGACTATAATTTCAGAGCAATAAACTGAACTGTAGTCATGTATAGTCACATTGTTTAATCTGTTCTATAAATCTTATAAATACTCCTGGTTTCCAGTAATTTCCTCCACATTGACAGTAAGGCTGGTATTAGAAGTGCCACTATTAATATTCTGTTATAGCTCCAATTTTGTTAATATAATTTTATCATTCATATCTGTCACTCCACGTAGATTGCCAATTTCTTCAGCAAGAATAAGTCAGAAGGACAATATCTACAATATCTTAAAAAGTAGCATCCATTTCCTATTGCTACAAGGGCTATGAAAAGTCAGAATGGCGAGGAAGAATTTTATCAACAAAATATATTCCCAAATGGCTACATCTAAACAGTCTAAAGTGTACTAATTGAGCTTGTTATTTTGTTTTTACTGTAGTTTTCAAGAGATATGTAGCCCATGCTTGCACAGTATTCTTGATCCAGCAATCCTCTCCTTGATACAATTTACTCACTTCCATGCACTGCCACGGCATGAAACAATACAATCAACTAGAAAACCCTTCCTTCCTACCTTCCTTCCTTCCTTCCTTCTTTCCTTCCTTCCTTCCTTTCTTCTTCCCTTTCTCATTCCCTTTCTTCCTTCATGTTTTCTTTCTTTCTTTTTCTTCCTTGCAAGAGCAAAAATAATCTAAACTAAACTTTGCAGTGGACAGCTGCTAATGTTGGATCATTTTTGCTTATTTTTACGTACATTCTCAGTGTACTTGCAGGGATTTAAAAAATTTATTAAATTAGTTAAACCCTCTATGGGACTGACTGAACTCCCTGAAGTTTAATTATGGTAGTTGAGTTCATTGACAGGGTCTCTTATAAACACTGTTTATGTTTATTTTGCATTTCAATCCTGGAATCCAACATTCCAGAAATCTTACTTATACATTCTATATTGTTCCATAACAGAAGCCCTAATTCTGCTAATAGCAATCAATTATATTTTGGCATTAATGCTCTAGCATTATTTAGCTCATCAAAATTTAAGTTTTTCTTAAGAATCAACATTTAGATTTCATTTACTCTCTTTGAATTATTTTCATTTGCTCTTTTCAGCAGGTCATTGGAAATAGAAATAGTTATCAATGGCCTAAGATAAATATTTTTATAGAAAAATATAGAGTTATATAATATTGATGTTACCCTATGATTAAAAATAGCATGTAGCCGGAAATAGCAAAAATGGCATTTCCACCTAGCTCCTGCTCCATCAAAAACAATTTGCTGCATAATCCAGCTATCTTCTTCTAAGTAAAAGAGGATTCTCAAAGAGAATCAAGACATACAATGTCTTCTATATGTTAATCCAGTACTTAGATCAACTGCTTCTGACTTGAATCCCAGATGCTTAGAGCAAACTTGCAAAGTATTATTTATTTTGTTTCTCACTTTTTCTTTCCCTGCTTCCCTTCCTTCAAGTTTTCATCCAAATCTCCAAATTCTCCAGTCCATTTCTTTTTCCCAACGCCTCTCTTTTCCTTCTCCTATCAGCCATTCTTTCCAGCTGTGCCTGATGCCCTTTCCTTGAATAATTCAGCCTTTCAAACAAGCGTTCAGCTTAGGGTAGAAGTGGTGTCTCTGGCTCTTCTTATGAGAGCTTATGAGGAGATCTCTTAGAAGAATTGGCATTACATAATCACATCTCCTCAGAGCTCCTGAGATGCTCTAAATGTAGCAGTGGTACTAGACTAAACAAGGCTTTCTGCAAACAACCCAAACAAGTAAGTACTAATTCTACAGAGAAATTTCTGTAGATGAAGTAGAGGCACCACTTTCCCATTTTATTTCTTTTTGACAAACAATGGATATAGTGGCAGGCAATCACATTATCATTACCAGTTTATTTTTTTTTTAAAAAGGTAATAAAATATGTGTTGTTTTATTTGACAAAAATCCTTCTTACATAAGCATAAGGTTGCAGTAATAGACACCTGATGACCATCTTGAGGTTGTGAAATGGAGAAGAAATCTTAGCCTTAGATATCTCTGCTTACAGAGAACCTTGAATGTGACCCAGTTTTAGGCAAGGATATCAGCAGTTCCTTATAATGCAATTCATTCAAACATAATTATAATAAACTGGTTGACTCACTGCATGTGAAGGATACTGGCGGTCATGTATTTACATTTGAGTCCATCCTTATTTATTTATAGAACAGGTGTCTAACTTTCATTCAGAGCAGCTAAGAATTAAAACACATTTTTAATAAGTGTTGAAAACAGAAACAAAATGGAAAAATACTCCAGTAAAAGTAGATTATATATTATCGCCAATACAATTCCCTGTAGAATAAATGCTGTCTTCATTAAGAAGTTTTAATCAGCTGGTGAAAGATCATTAGATAGGGCAGCAGCCTGGCCTCCTAAGTAGGTTCTACAATTTAGCTGAGATCATTGTATCCACCAATTTTGTTTCTGCAACATTGGGACATAGAGAAGGATTTCAATATTACTTAAGATTGTGGGAATCAGTGTGGGAAGAGGCAATTCCTAGGATATCTGAGACCTAAATTCTATAGATCTTTAAACAACCCTTTGAATTGTGGCCCAAAAGAAATTAGTAACCAGGATATCTTTTCCACAACTCTTTATAATTATTCTCAGAGTAAATGGAATAATTAATTATCCATGTAGTATAATAAAGAAAGTGCCATGTGATCAGAATTAACAATATCATTTACAGGTGCAATTGGCTGGATTTAAACTGGGCAAAATCATTCCTGACTTTGGGTGTTGATGGAGATTATCAACCTGTATTCTAATTGCAGGCTGGAATATAATATGAAAATAGTTGCAGTCCATTTTACATAGGAGATGCATGGAAGCAACATTGTGGGAGGAGGGTTGTGTTGGTCTCTGAAATGTGGACTTGCTAGATGCAACCAATGAACTAGCAAGTGAAATGAAATGCTGGCTGGCTGGCTGGGCTTAGCCCAGCAGGGCTTTTCTCATTTGACTTTTAGGAGGGGCATTCTTCACATTCTTAGAGTTTCTATCATTTCTTTTGATGCCAAGCTATTGTTATAAGGAAACAGCATTTAAAAATTAGTCCCATTTGAACTAGAAAACTCTATTTCTGAATTTAGGAAGCTCTCACTTTCAACAATTTAATAGGATTTGTGGTAGGGGAGAGAACCAGGAATGGCTGGGGGCTCTCTCTGAATTCTGCAATCAAGACAGCAGTCTGACTCACATCTGCTGAATGTGAAGGCTCTCTGTTTTCCAGGTAACTAGGAGATCCTGAATTGAGCTCCTGAGAAGCAGAAGGAAGTGAGGCCAAGGTTATTTCTGTATCTGATCAATTTCAGTGTCTGGGAGAGGAAGTTGCACCATGCCTTCTCCAGAAAGAGAAAAGGAAGAGACAGAAGTCATCAAGAAGCTCTATAGCCCACCGCTTCCCCGCTGGGAAATCCAAGGAAAGCATTTCCTTTAGGCACTTCCATCCTCGATTGATCCGACTCGATTGATCCGGTGGAAAAGCCAATTTTCTCCTTCCCACATAAACTCTTTAAAGTCTGAGGCAGTGCCATTCTTTCTTTCAGCGCTGAAGTTCAGGAAGGAAAGAGGTCCTCGGAATGACACAAATTGCTTCTTTAACCAGCTTCCCCGTTGCAACTGAAGGAGACCTAGTTGTTAGAGGACGGTGGACCTCTATCAGACCTATCCAGCGCCACCCGGATGTTTTGGACTACCAATACCATCGGCCAGGCCTTGCCTGAAAGCAAAGGGGTGGTAGCTCAGCACACTGGGAGGGCATCGGGTTAGTGAAGGCCACTCTGTCTTTTTTTTTCTTCCGACAAACACTCTTGTTTATTCCTCTACTAATTTTCCCAGAGGGAGACCTAAGCAGGAAACTGCGTCGCTCCGTCTCCCGGCCCTCTCTTTAGGCTTGTTTTCCCCCTCTGTGTTGTAGCAGATGTTTATTGCTTCACATGTCAACTAACCCAGCTAGCATTTATACACTCACATGCCTGCGGGGTGTTTCCACCAGCCAAAGTGATTCACGGCACCGGGCATTGGAGGGTGGAGGTGGGGGAGGAGAGCGAGCTAACCGCCGGTTCAATTGAGCGACTTTTCGCGAACTGTCCGAGGTGCTGAACCTCGGAAAGACAGCAAGTGACGCTTCCTCCGTAAAGGGCGGTCTCTCGGGTTCCCAAAACCTTCAGTTCGCCACGTTTCTAGCCAACCTTTTCCCTTTCGGGCAGCAAAAATACGGAATACGGGAAAGGACTCGAGAAGTTTGGTCATTGGGAGGGGAAAAAACCGGGGGAGGGGTTTTGAGCGGGAAGAACCTGGGAATAAATCTATCGCGAGTGTGCAAGTGATAGTGCCAGCCGAGGTGACCAAGGCAAGGATTTCCACCTGGCTTCGGAGATCGAAGGGAAAGCTGTAAGTACTTCAAGCACCCTCGTAGAACAGGTTGCGGAAACCTGTCGGAATGGCCTTCACCCCTTTGCTCTTGGCGTGCAAATACGCTGGGATACAACGTACGAGTCTGAATTTTCCAGTTAGGAATGCAAAGGCTTCCACTCCTAGATTCAGATGCCACAGGTCTTGATGAGACTCAGAAAGAGATCCACTGGACGCGAGAAGCCACGCGGGAAGAAAGAACAGCAGGTTCAGTCAGAAGGTCTCTCTCCTTAGAAAGCTGGGGAAAGTAGGGGCGACAGTTTTGTCAGGCTGACTTTTGCGATTGTTCTGGTTTTCTTAGGGAACCTGAAGGGGGCAAAGTGGGAGAGGGGAGTTTTGCAGTCGGCATTGCCAACTCCAAGAGGACGTTAATCTGGGGGGGAAAATGCCAGGCAAGGTCCGCATCAAAAAGTTTCATATGATTGATTCGGAACTGAGGAAGAGCGAACATGGGTTGGAAAAGAATTGTATAATACGAACGGGGGTGGGGGACACCTGTATTTGTACGTAATCCGAAGAAGGTTGATGGGTGGATGAGAACGTGTTGTGCTTGTTCTTGACTTCCAAGCAAAAAAACAACAACAAAACAACAAAACACAAACACACACACACAAAAAAACCACTTGCTGCAATAGATTCGGTCTAGCACGGGGGTCTCGAACCTTGGCAACTTTAAGACTTGTGGACTTCAACTCCCAGAGTTCCTCAGCCAGCTTTGCTTGCTTTGCTGGCTGAGGAACTCTGGGAGTTGAAGTCCACAAGTTTTAAAGTTGCCAAGGTTCGAGACCCCTGGTTTAGCAAACACCCCATCAGAGAAGAATCCGGGTGCTTAGCTCTATAAGAAATTTTGCTTTCAAAACTAAGAGAAGTCTTGATTTCTGCTCGTCAGTGAGTTCTGTTCCCGCTGAATCTCGGTATACATTGATTCGTTTTTCATTGATGGAAATTACAGCAATCCTTCATTTTTTTTTTAAATAGGGAACATTATTTTTAAAGAGGCAAAAAAGTAAACACACGCCTTCAATCAGCCAAATCTTTCTCAGTTTAACGCCAGAGGGCGCAATTTCGAACTAGCGAGAAGAGCAGGAAGGACGCTACAAGTACGGTAATTCAAAAAGTTAGCAAGGTTTCTATTGCCGGCCTAAAAGCCTAAAATAATTTTGAAAATAGCTTCAGCGAAGGATAATAAAATAGAACAATAAATATTTTGTTCAGATAGATAGGATCAGCCCATCAACATATGCATAACTTGCCAAAATAAAAAGAGGGACCTGGCTGGTTGATCTCATAAATCCCCAAATTTAGGACCTACTACCCTCTTCTTGAAGAGATGGAGCATTTCTTCTTTAACTAAATCAGCATACTTCTTCTTTGCAAGCTGGCTGAGATGATGGCTATTGTAGGCAAAGACATTAGGAAAGAGTGGCTCTGTCGGATGGATAAGTGATAGTAATGTCTGGATGAAATTACAGTTCAGAAAGGTTCTTTTTAAATATCTCATAAACGCTTAGAAGATTTTAGACTGTTTATAGTAATTGAATAGTTCTAATGTTCAGTGCTGGTGCTGTTTTAATGTTGTACATAGGGTTAGGGTTAGGGTTTAGGGGAGAAGGATTATTTGGATTTGGGAAAAAGTATTTGGGAAAATTATTTTCTAAGGTCCTTTGAGGATGATCCTTTTGATCTCAAGAGGCAGGAAAAAAGTTTTTTAAAAAATAAGAAGTCTCAGAAATACTTAAACTTAAAACAGTGTGTGCTTTAAAAAGTCAATATATACATGCATATAATACATAAACACATTTGTGACTAGATTAGCTATTGTTTTTTTTTAATCTCATGACTTTTATTGTTTTATCAATGTATTAAATACAAAGAAAAATAAAAATAGGAATTGTATACAGGATAATGTGAAATTACAGTTTCCAATTCTTTAGCAGGTGTTGGCCTTTGTACATATCAAGTTCTTCCCAAGAACCCACAGTGTTATAACATATCAGTCTAATATGTGCGGATCCAAGCAGGAGGCCATCTTGTAACTGACAAATGGAAATTTTGTTAATGCTCAGATTTTCTAAGGGCTGACCAAGATTTTTTGGTATGGCACCCAGTGTATCAATAACTATTGGGACCATAATGGCCAGTTTGTGACATTGTTTTATCATTATTGTAGTTGGTTGCCATCAGCCACATTTTAGACTGTATTTAGCACATCTGTCCACTTATTGAATCCTTTCCAAGGACCTGGGATAGCCAGACATTATTTTTTAATAATATTAATGGTATTGTTGCAGGATGTAAACTGTTCCAAGTAAAGTGATTTTGTCAATGCTGATGGTGTTTAAATTGTGTCTCAGAAGTTTTGGAACTGTACCCAAGGAGCCTATTACTATTGGCACTGTCTTTGCTTACTTTGCCACAGTTGTGGCAAACACTATTTGCAGTCTTTATATTTTTTAATTTTCTCGAGTTCTTTCTCTTCTGCTGTCTCGAGGTATTATAATGTCTACTATTCAGACTTTGTCTTTCTTATCAATAGCGCACAGGGCACAATGAAATAAAAAGACTTCCCATTCTCTACTCAACATTCGGTATACTGTCACATAATTGAGTTGGGCTATATTGACAAAAAATCACAAATCTGAAAGCACCTTTTCTGAGCTATGCTTTTTTAATAAAACGTGTTAGTTGGAAAAAGTGCCACTAGACTCCTCCTAATACTCTGTCACCAGAAACTTGCAAAAAGGTTAAAGTTGCATATTGATTTCCTCCTGCCTTTTAATATCAAGATCTTTTTCTTTGTTATATATTAAATTCAAAGCAAAGAACCTTAAGACTCAATAATTTGACCAGTCAATATTGGGGAACTTAAGCAACAAAAAAGATAATAATACAACATAGTATGTTATGAGGTAGCTTGATTTTGTTTTGGACATTATCTTGTAATTTATTATGCACATTATAAATTGTCAGATGGACATTGCAGACAGCTGTATTTTGCTCCATAGTGAAAATATTGCAACTTAGTAGGAATGAATGTACAAATGAACATGATAGCGAGATGGTGAGAATTCTAAAGCTAATATACATTATTTCAGCCAAAGTGGATAACCCATTTTGGGGTTTCTGATGTCTGTTACAATTCTTATTGCTGTTTGGCCATATAAAAGATACCGTCTTTGCTGTTAGGTGCTATCAGATGTATGGCTCCTGGTGCTGTAGAATAGAAGGATTATGTGTAGCTATTTTTGTTTTTCCCTCCTTAACAGGTTTTTTCCTAGTCAGAAAACAAGTTACAAGTGGCAGAAAGTGTTATCTGTTTATTTCTGCAAAAAAAGCCAGGACATTTGGAAGTTGGGCGGCATAGACATATGATTAATTAAATTAAATTAAATTAAATTTACATGATACCTCCTTTTTCAATATATTTCAAGGAGGTGAAAAGGCACAGGGGAGGGGAGGGGCAAAAAAAGCATTCTAAAACAGAAAAACAATAACGTGGATCCTTAAAACATTCAATAGGTTTTGTATTTTTGAAATGAAGTATAGTATTTTGAACCTGTCTTTCTTAAGTAGGAATGCAAGATCAGTTTTGGTATAATTTAGGAACAAAAGTAAGCTGGAATAAAGCAGTATGTAACAATATACCATCTGCTTTATTATAGCTTTCATTTGTTATGCAAGCCAAAGAACTTTTGGAAATGATGATTAGATTAATCTTCTTGTCAATCCTGAAAATATGCTTTTCAGATTCAACAAGCCCTGTTTCTGTCTCATTCACAAGATTTTTGCTGAACAACAAAGCAGCTGTCAGGGACCCGAGGAAGCCTATAGTGTTCCATTTCTTAAGACATAGTTCTGTTTGCATTTTGAACAGCAATTAGAAAAACCATTGGTTGCCCTTGCAGTATGGCAGCTATCAGCAACCCAGCATACAGCTTTTTCTTGTATGTTTAACCTATTTCCTAATATTCCATTTTGCAGCTCATGGGATCAGAGCAGGTGGAAATGCGCAAAAGGCAGACCTCTGCATCTCAGGGGATACCAAGCTCTCTACTTGCCCAGTCTGGGATAGAGACTCAAGGCTCCAATCCCTGCTGCTTCTGCTGGTGCTGTTGTTGCAGTTGCTCCTGGTATGTCTTTAAAATATACTCAATTCAGCCAGAGGGAAATGACAGCTAGTTTCCATAGGAACATAGACATAGGTCCCTTGGGTAATCAAATAAGCAGGAAAGGAAGATACCTAGCATAAACTAGGCAACAGCTGTGTGGAGATGAAAACAAAATCATGCTGTTTGCGGAGTTGCACAAAGATGCAAGATTGATGCTATTCATACATTACGTGTTTCCCATTTAATTTTCCAAACAGGATAATTTCATTGACAAATACACTCTAGATCTATAAAGTTGGAAGTGATTTAAATAGCCAAATGGACCAATAATCTGATTCAGGGTTAAATCAGATTATTCATAAAATGTGAATTGCATTGCTTAGTGCTCCGCTTTGTTTTTACTTTATTTTATTTAAGCACGATAGGCTACTGAACTCAGGAAGTGAGAGATTAGAAAGCCTAGCCTTTCATCCCTCCAATTATTGGGATAAATATAAATGTATATGCAATGTGTATAGGGTTAGGTTAGTTGGCAGTCATCAGAATTAGTCTGCAATATTGCATTCTAACCGCTGCGCCACCACGCATTTCATAGATGGCCTTATGTAGCTGTTATATCATGAATGATAGTTTTTCAGTACCGAAGCAATTCAGAAGATCTTGAAACATTTGATCCATAGTAGATAAAAGACAAGCTAAGAAAAATGTAATTTTAATCAGCACTCTTGAAAGAAAGAAAATTAGATTATTGTCTCTGCAAAACTGCTGGTAGATAACGGAAATAGCTTCAACTTGAAATTAGTATTTTGAAAATATTTACTAAATGCAGCTGTGAGGCATAAAAAAGGTAGTACTGTAAAACTATTTATGCACAAATAATTTTATAAATGCACTCATAATTTTTCAACAAACCAGAGCCAAAACAGTCTCTTTTCAGCAGAACAAATTTAAGATTCTGATACGTTTGCAGCTTGCTCTGGTGGCAGCTGGCCTTATCTGGGCTTGAAAGCCAAGCAGTTTTCACTTGGGTGAAAAATGTCAAGGAAATACAGTGCTGTAGCTAGACAGGGAAGTTGAGAAAATACCCCCCAAATGACCGTGGCAAACTACTTCCTTATTGTTGTGAAATAAATCAAACAGGTCATGTTGCTGAATTCATCCTGCTGGCACTCAGCAAAATTAGCCTGCAATACTGCATTCTAACCACTGCACCACTACATTTCTTTCATCTAAAGCAGGGGTGAAATCTAAATTTTTTTGCTACCAGTTCTGTGGGCATGGCTTAATTAGTGGGCGGGGCTTGGTGGTAAGGTGACTGGTAGGGTGTGGCTTGGTGGGCGTGGCCAAGTCAATGTCACTTCTTTGCCCTTTTTTAACCTACAAAACACAACCCAACCCAACTGGCTCACCCACAATATAAAAGCAGCTGTGCTAGACCCAAAATGGCCCCTGCAACAAGCAGGAACCTCACACAGCCACAAAACAACCAACTTTCACACTTTACACACACACAACACAACACAACACAACCGGCTCACCCACAATGTAAAAGCAGCTGTGCTAGACCCAAAATGGCCCCTGCAACAAGCAGGAACCTCACAGCCACAAAAGCCCAAAAAACCAACTTTCACACTTTACACACACAAAATTCCACATACAGATTTGTGAGATTTTGTGTGTTTGTGTAGTTAGAGTGAAACACTACAGAAACACCCTAAATCTCAGAAAGTTGCACAAATATTATTTTATTTTATTTTTATATAAAAGCAGCTAAATTTAAAACTTCTTAAACTTTAAATGGCTAGGTCTAAAAAAAGAACAACTAAAAAAAACCCCAATTAACTATTTTTTTAAAGCTCCAAAGGGGAAAAAAACTTACTCAATAGAACAGGGGTCTCCAACCTTGGCAACTTTAAGACTTGTAGACTTCAACTCCCAGAATTCCTCAGCCAGCTTTGCTTTGCTGGCTGAGGAATTCTGGGAGTTGAAGTCCACAACTCCCTGCCTGCTTGATTGCAGGCAGGGAGATTCAGTTGCTTGCTGATGCAATGGATTGCAGGGATTACAGTAAGGTGTTGCGACCAGCAGCTAAAGTAAGCAAACTGAGGGAGGGAGAGGGAGGGATTTTTGCTACCGATTAGCAGGCATCTCATCTGGGGTCGTCAGAGCTTGGATCGTCAGAGCCATTTAAAAGAAAAAAAGGTTTTTTCTTTTACATGGCTCTGGCGATCCAAGCTGAGTTGCCTGATTAGCAGGCAACTCAGCTGGGATCGTCAAAGCTTGGCTCGTCAGAGCCATTTAAAAGGAAAAAAAGGCTCTGATGATCGCGTGGCTCAGCTGGGCATGGGGGCGGGGGCAGGGATTTTTGCTACCGGTTCTCCGAACTGCCCGGCACCATCGCTACCTACTCGCCCGAGCTGGTCCGAACCGGCAGCATTTCACCCCTGCTTTTACCCCCACCTATTCGCCTTATGCTGTTCTTGGAGAAAAAATGTAAGAGGAAATGCTGTCTATGCTGCTTTGCCCTCTTGAATAGAAAGAGAAATATAAATCTGGCAAATAATAATGTTTGAAAAACCTAATACAGATAACTACACTCAAAACAAAAGCAAACAAGGAGGAGGTAACATCTAATGATGTTTATGTTCTCATTTACCATTCCAAAACACATTCACCAGGTAGGTAGAGAACATATGTAGATCCCCGCAAAAGAGCTTAACTCCCACCTCAGATCTTGGGGGAAAGTCTTCCATTAAATTATTTACTATTTATTAAATTTATATGCTGCCCATCTCACTGTTGAAGTGACCCAAAATGTATTCTACAATTAATCTAGCCTGCTGTCTAGACATTTCTAGTCATTTTCTTGACTACTGAGACAACCTATCTCATTATTACTTCTCCAGATTATCTGTGCCATCTCATAAAACTGTTTTGCTTCTTTTTTTTTTTAACTTGGCCAACCACTCCAATAATTGCTCCAAAGTCTATTATCTGCCCTGCTCTTGGTGCTTTCTTATTTTCTTTTTTCTTTTCTTCTTCTTCTCCATAACAGCCCTTCCTTGACTGGTGGACTAACTTTTCAATTTAGGTATTTATTTATTTTTTTGATTTTTGTGGTCTTTTAAATTCTTGAGGAAATGTTTCTACATTTTTTATTCCATTAACCTGTATCTGTGGATGGATTCAAGAGTATCTCAGATGATATCCATCAGGTTATATTATAGGAAAACAACCTTTATACAACCATTAAGAGTATAATTATCCATTAGAGTTTCAGTTACAGCAGGACTGAAGTTTGAATTTTGTAATTAAATTATATTTTTAAAGAAAAAGAGAAATGAATCTCTCACTGAGTGGATCAACAGTGAAAGACATGTCCAGCATAATATGCTGTTTTCTTGACTTAAATCCATTACAACTTTGAAAAACTAAAATATATTAAGATCATTAAAGGTAAAGGTCTCCCTGTCCAGTCATGGGTACAGTGCTCATCTCCGAGCCAGCGTTCTCTGAAGATTTTCTGGGCTTATGTGGCCAGCATGGATATATACCATAGATGCATGGAACACTGTTACCTTCCCACCGAAGTGGTACTTATTAATCTACTCACATTTGCATGCTTTCGAACTGTTGGGTGGGCAGGAGCTGACGCAGGAACAGCAGCTCACTATGTTGCGTGGTGCTTAGATCTTGAACCCAGGCTGTCAGCTTTCCAGCTGACAAGCTCAGCGTCTTTAACTGCTGAGCCATTGCACCCCTTATTAAGATTTACTCCCATCATAATCAGATTTTCCCCCATTTTTTAAAAGTAAAATAGTCCAGTTAGAGATTTTTGACATTACAATTCCTTTTATCCTGAATTTTGAGAACAAGGAGTCAGACTGCAAAAAAAAATGTATTGTAGAGAAAAGTTAAGACTATAAAGATACTGTGTATTTACAGTACATGACCTGGTATTGCAAAATATGAAGAAATAGGCAGCCAAGACTGTAATTGGGTAACACTTACCACAGAGTATATGAAATTTATCCAATTCTAAATCAAACATAATATTTCTTTCAAGGCATGGTAGAGCAGTTCCCTCCAATGCAAAAGTTTCTCTGTAGATTTACCTCAGTTCAAACTAGGAAACATATGAAGCAGTCTGATAAAATTATTAAAAAGGGACCTTCTTGACATACGAACAAATAACAATAAGGGAATGTACATAAATAACCTTGAGTGATTGGACATCTGAACATTAAAGTGCTAATTTGTTGTCAGATAAATCTCTCGGTGTAACATTTTACTATTCTTGCAGTCTTTCATACTAGATTTTCTAGAAGAAATCACATTTGCTAAAAATATTTTCTCTTCTGTCCCATATTTTTAAACTAAAGCACAGACAGCCAATATATTAAATGAACCAATATTTTTCTAAGAGATTAAAAATGAGATGCCATCATTCAACACATCAAGTTTAGAAGAAATTGCATGGTATCTTAATGGAAATCTTATACTGGGGGAATTAGATTGTAACCTATTTTTAGGTATCAAGCCTAGTGGTAAATTTAAAATCTCAGCAAATTGTTTATTTCAGTTTCACCAAACTCTGTTTTATTACAGTCTTGCTGTTAGGAATCAAGATGAAAGTACAAGGGCAGCAGCACATGAAATTGCATCAGAAATGATTCCATATTGTGAACAAGGGTAAGGATTAACTGGTAAAGTCATTGTACTGCATTTAAAGCACTGGTATTTCTTAGATAGCAAGATCATGTATACTGGGAATGATGGAAATTGTAGTTCTACATATTTAGACGATATCACATTGGATAAAGTTATTACCATTCTCATACCAGTTTAGCATATTTTGGTTATCATGAGATCACTATCATGCAACACATTCACCTGTAAACTGAATCTAGTTAAAATGTACTATGAAAATATATGAAAAATTAATACAACAATTTGTTTTTCCATTTTAACACTTTATGAAAACATGAAAAACAAAATCAGACTGTGTTGCTTTTGTTCCTTAATACTACAGCTACAGGATAACATATAAGAAAAACCATGAAAGTACTGGTTATACTGAGTAAACATATTGTAGATAATTGTACTGGTCAGTTCAATAATAAACATACTACAATAAGATAACAGATAGACAAAATACTGATAGAGTATTTTATTGATAGGGTATTAATAACATAATAAGCAGGGTTGGGATTCAGCCAGTTCGGACTGGTTTGGGTGAACCAGATGTTAATTTTAATCTGGTTCACTGAACAGGTTGTTCAAAGGACTGGTTGATCCAGCCCACCCCTCCCCTCCCCAGAGTCTCCACGCGGCCCGTTTTGGATGCAAGGTAAGTGCAGGGACCACACGGAGGCTCTGGGAGGTGAAAAATGGGCCAACAGGAAGTCTGGAAATGGGCCTGTTTCCAGCCTCCAGAGGACTTCTGGAGCCCTGGGGAGACCGTTTTTGCCCTCCTGGAGGCTCGAGAAAAACCTCTGGAGCCTCGGATGGCGAAAAACGGGCCTACCGGAAGTACTAGAAGTCCAGAAATGGGCCCGTTTCCAATCTCCAGAGTCAGGGGAGGCCATTTTCGCCCTACAGGAGGCTCGAAGAAAGCCTCTGGAGCTCCGGAGGGTGAAAAATGAGCCTACTGGAAATACCGGAAGTCCAGAAACGGCCCATTTCCAGCCTCCAGAGGGCCTCCAGTGTCCGGGGAAGGCCCTTTTCGCCCTCCTGGAGGCTCGAGGAAAGCCTCCGGAGCCTCGGGAGGGTGAAAATGCCCCCCCCATCGTGGTGCAGGAGGCTGAGTAGGTCATGCCTCCATGGCCACACTCATCCAGCAACTGGACAGCGAACTGGTTGTTAAATTTTTCAATCCCACCACTGATAAGGTACCATTCACCACCTTTGTTCATTTTTTAACTAAATTGCTTCGAATTTCAGTTTTATCAATGCATAAAACCTCCTAAATTCCACCTTTTCTTCCCATACCATTGTAACAGTATTTATTATTTTTCATTCATTTATTTCATTTATAGCTCAACACCATCTTTGGAAGAAGCAAGTGCTTGGAGGCATTCCTTTGACAAACTGATGGCAACACCTTCAGGTCGAAATGCTTTCAGAGAATTCCTTCGGTCAGAATACAGTGAAGAAAACATGCTTTTCTGGCTGGCCTGTGAGGACTTAAAACAGGAATCTAACAAGAATGTAATTGATGAAAAAGTCAGGCGAATATATGAAGATTATGTTTCTATTCTTTCTCCAAGAGAGGTTTGTTACATTTCGCAATACCCTTGATTTTAAATGAGTCAGCCAAAGAAATACAATGAACTGTTCCAAGCTGTTCTTGTTTAGATGGAGTATTTTAAAGATTAAGACTGTTACAAGATTTTAAAGATTTTTAAAATTTGATAGTTTTAAAGTGATTTATTTTATAACATTTAAACATTTATTCTTGTGAGGTGATTTGAAGGGGTGGTCTTCTTGGGTTAAAACTTAGAATATATTTTTTCTAATAGAAATTATCTGTAAGCATACCACTGAGGATGATAAGGATAAGTGCATAAGTAGGGGACAGTTATAAAATTTTAACTTATCTTTCTAGAAGACTAACATGGCTCAATCTCATAGGATGTTTCAAAAGATTTAATTTTTTCATTCTTTCCCAATTGCTAATGAAGTCCAGCTATATAGTACATTGATATATACACAGATTTATTAAAATCTAACCTTGTTGCAATTATACAATGCCTTAGAATACTTTTCGGGTATTGATAAGATATTTGTGATATTCCACTTTGTAAATTCATACAATAGATTTTTAACATACAATTCTTGTCCTTGAATACAAAGTTTTTAAAACAAGTGTGTGTACTTCATGAAGACAAGGGACTGCACTTGTGAAAGCTCTTTGAATGTAATATTTGATTTGTGATGGAAAATTGTTTTAATCCCTGATGGAGATTTAGATGTCTTAGTATGATGGATTCCAACATATCCATATCTGTATTAAATCCATTCTGGATATCCTTCAAATACTAACCATTTGAAGAAAATTTGTGTTTGTCTTTCTTCAAGGAAAAACAAAAGCTGTGGATTTTAAAATAAAGACTAGATGAAAGTAGAACATTGTCAAATGTTTTAGTGGTAATAGAATGTCCTCCAGTTATAAAAAAAATGTCTATACAATTTTCAGACCCATTGCGAAACTATAAAATTGTTTCCATTGTTAGCAACAGAATTGAGGAAAGATATTATTGAACACTTTAATAAATTCATTTATTAACAGGTCAGTCTGGACTCCAGAGCAAGAGGAATTATTAACCGGAACATAATGGAACCATCGATACATACTTTTGATGAAGCACAATTCCAAGTTTATATGTTGATGCTCAGAGATTCCTATCCTCGATTTGTGAACTCTGCTATTTACAAAGAATTAGTTATGTCACATTTTCAAGCAACTGCTGAATCGTAGAATTTAAATTTATTTTGCATCTAACTACCTTTTTACACAAATAAAAGTTTGGCCCACCATCCATTAATATGGGATTTAGAATCAACAAGCTGATTACATAACAGTAATTCAGTAAGAAGTGTATCTTAATACAATGGTAACAGTGTTCCAAAGTTTACAAATTCTAAAATTCCACATTATTTCCTGAATTTTAAGTAGTTCTGCCTAAATTATATGTGCTGATGGAAGATATATAGAAAAAAATGTTAACAGCAGGAACATGCACTGTAGTAAAATTCTGAAATGCATACACAGCTTTTAAATCACAATTCTATGATCTACCTGGAGTGGTTCACTATCCAGGTGTCCTATCAGTGAGAGACTGGAAGTGTGGGATCAGGAATCTTTCCAGTGTTTTTCTTATTTTACAAATGAATTATGCTTGATCCGATTTTTCCCCTGCATCAGGGATATGGCAAAAGGGAACTACCTGATCAAATAGATGTCAGTTCTTTCCATTCTGCTCATTGTATAATCCATACTATGCCTCTGATAAGATCTTTTGAATATTAAAGCAATTCATATCAGAGCTGTTGCAAAGCTGTAAGGAAATATCTGATATTGAACTTTATCCTTCAGAACCTTACCACTGATCTTGGACAAACACAATCCAAGAAATCTTGTAGCTGTTGAGGTTGTCTATAGAGATCTCTGATTTTAGCCAAACCTACCTAAAACATACATATAATAAAACATTTTAAATTTAATTTGTATAACAATAATGTTTGTTTACCGAAAGCATACCAAAATTGCAATGTTTGACCAAGCCTGAGGATTTCTATGAATTCTGAAACTTTTTCTCAGTGAGTACTTGAAGTGATAACTTTGCACTGTACAAAGCAAATACTTGCTTTGATATTGAAATGTTCACATGATAATCCAAAAGGTGTTTTTTTCAAAAGGCAACTGGACTTTGTTTTTTCCTTGAAGACAGTTCTTTTCATCCAAGAAGTTTCAGAACTGAAGACGCTTCTTGGATGAGAAGCAAAATGTCTTCAATGAAAAATGAAGTCCAGTTGCCTTTTGAAAAAAACACCTTTGGGGAAACCATAACCTGGATGACTGAGAATCTCCATTCACATGATAATTTCTTCATGCTTATAACAACTGGCAATTGAGTTCTTGAAATAATTCTAAAATTGATTTCCCTCATTTTTGTCTCTACTAGCAAAAAGATCAGCTCAGGTATTATTTTTAGAATTCAGAATAATCCATTCCTCTTTAAGGAAAAACTAATTTTACTTACAAACTTAATGACAGGAGTAGCATTTCTTCATGAGTAACATGAGAGCATTTCAAAGTTAACAACAAAACCAAACAAAGCAAACTGCACAAACGAAAGGCACTGAAAAGAGATGTCACCCATAAAATGTTATCTTATTACTGAATCCATAGAATTAATTTTTGTTAATATTTCTAGAAAAAAAAAACACATGAAAATTTGTTAATCACTGCTCTAAATTAAAAATCCAATATGTATCTCAGCTACTTTCATTATGTAAATGGCAATCATAGTTTTAAATATTCATAAACTGGGAAGCCAGTTTAATCTAAGAATATCAATTTGTTAACTATAGAACTTGTTACAAACTTTCTTTCCAAATGATTTTGGGGGAACTCTAAATAATTATTCCACTGCTTAAATTGGGAAACAGCCTGGGCTTTTAAAGAATGTATACATTATGAAAGCTAATAGCTCTGAACATCTTTAATAAAGAATAGCTTTACATTTATTTCTTTCATAATTACTTCCTGCTATTAAGAGTTCACAATTAATCTTGCTTTAAATTTTTACCCAAATACCAGAATAGAACCGTGTGATTTATGCAGAAATGTATATTACTTTCACCAGAATACATCTTCAGCTTTAAGTATTGACTCATTAAATTACCTCATGCGCTGTTGACCATGGAATTAGAATCGGAAGGGACCTTACAGGCCAACCAGTACAACTCCCTATTCAGTACAGGCTTACCATTCATTTAGTGACTGCTAAAAGTTACAATGGTACTGAAAAAAGTGACATGACTGTTTTTCACTCAGTAATTGCAGCATCCCCGTGGTCATGTTATCAAAATTCAGACACTTGGCAACTGACTCATACTTATGATGGTTGCAGTATCCTGGGTCATGTGACTACTTTTGCAACCTTTTGACAAGCAAAGTCAATGCAGAAGCCAGATTCACTTAACCAATTTAGCTTAACTGCAGTGATTCACTTAATAACCGTGGCAAGAAAGATTGTAAATTGGGGCAAAACTCATTTATTATTTATTTATTTATTAGTCATATTTCTATGCCGCCCACTGTCCAAGGACTCTGGGCGGCTTACACCAAAGACAGTATACTAAATAGCATATTGCCCTCAACAATCTGGGTCCCCATTTTACCCACCTCGGAAGGATGGAAGGCTGAGTCAACCTTGAGCCGGTGAGATTTGATCCACTGATCTGCTGAACTAGCAGTCAGCTGAAGTAGCTGCAGTACTGCACTCTAACCACTGCGCCACCTTGGCTCTGTGGTTAACAACTTAACAACTATCTTGCTTAGCAGCAGAAATTTTGGGCTCAACTGTGATTGTAAGTCAAGGATTACCTGTACTTTATGCAGCAGCCTGTTACCAATTGACATTTCAGTCAGGACGTTTCTCATGATATCCAGCTGAACCTCATGCCTTGTGCATACTTCATCCTTAATCACCATATGCACTATACATGTATCTACGCAGACACAAAGTAGGAACTATTTGTTTTAGCTATGAAAAAAAGTGGAGCTAAATTCTGTGGCAACAAAAGCATTGTCTAAATTTCACGGAGTAAAGCAATATTCACTATTATATTTTGATTAAATCTACAAAAGAAGTTTTTAAAAATGTTTAAAAAACTATCACCTGTAAGTCAAATATATGTAATGATGGAAAAATATGTGCAGAAGGTTCACAGAATTGCCCCCATCCCATTTACATTAATATAAAAATACATGCAAATCTTTCTCAATAACTGGTGCTTATTGGGTATGGAATATCCTCTAGCAAATAGCAATAAATTAAAGATTAATGCCTTCCATTTTCAGAAATAGATTTAATTATTGATTCTCTGTAGATGTTTTTTATGCTCACATGATAAAAAAAAATCTGATTGTATTAAAAACAAATCCATTAAAATAGAATAGAGTTGACATGTTACTTTTCTTCTTTTCCAGCCTATAATCAGTATTTCCCTTTGGGGACTGCAAAACAAAAACATTGTTAGGCTTCTCACCACTGGGACAAAATACTCATATATACTAATTTACTTTTCTGTTCAGTGCAGCAAGCTGAAGATGTGTTTTATTTTTCCATATTAACCCTTTTTTAAAAAAAGAAAAGAAAACTTATTAAAAGAACACCACACAGTGCTAAGGGAGAAGATACAGAACAAAGCTGATATTTCAACTGTGACCATAAGTTCCATTACCTTAGTTTGTAAATAAAACCAGCTGTAACTGTATGATTCAAGAAAACATGTTCCACAGTATTGCACTGAGTTGCATAGAAGAAAGTATCTCTACATACATTGTAATTAAGAGAGAGAACATTTCATAAATATTAAAGGCATGAGAGGAAATCCCTCTATTTAAATGCTCAGAAAAATGTGTACTTTGTTGATATATAAAATAATATAAAATTATAATATTGAGATATTATATATACTCAAGTATGACTCAGTACAGTGGATCTTGTTCACAGATAATCACACAGAAAACTGTAATTAATTGAAAGAATATATTGACTGTACAACATTGTAAGTAAATAAAACATACAAGAAATATAAAGGCAGTACTCTATGCTGTCATCGCACAATCTTTTTTTTCCCCAGGGAATATTAAAATTGAGTCAGTATCACATTTTTAGTGAGACTATTATTTCATCAGAAATTATCATCACAATATGGACTAGCAACACACATGGATATGGAATTAAAGTTGTAATATTACTGAACTCTTGAATGTAAAAGCTATCTGCAGAAGTTACCTTAAAGGAAGGATAAAAAAAGTAAATGAAATGGAAGGGCTAGATCAGAAGGATCTTATATTCAAGTCAGTTCTAAACTTTTCAAACTAAATCAAAAGTATAACAAAAAGAAAAATCTGTAATTTACACATAGCAAAGATAGTAGTTCCATTATTAAAGACAGGATCTGGAGCTGTATTCACTATTTGGCAACCATACCCATTTTGTTCAAAAAGTGAATGTTGTAATGAAAAGCAGAATTGAGGTGCTGAGCATTTAAGTATATTCCTGTGATCTCCACTCAAGACTGTTTCAAAGTAAAAATGAATCCCTAATGAACATGAACCAGGTTTCAGCCATCAACATGATCCACAGTGTTAGGGAGGTATTTCCAACATCAAGTTCCTAGTTGTAAGGAATAACATCTCTCACTGCTGATGTGAATTTAATATATATGGAATAATTTTGTAAAAGTAAATTCATTCATTGTGTGTTAAAATATTGACATATAGGCAGTATAGGGATTTTCAGTTTGTCCTGAAATGAACTCAGGCTAAGTGAAGCATTTCTGGGTGTGTCAACAAATTTAAGCGTACTTGACTCAGCATTTTGTAAGATCCAGATTTACCATCACAAAAAGTGAAATCTATTGTCACAGAATCAATATACCACAGGGATTGAGGGATGAAAACTATTATTATTCCAAGATGGTGTTTATTAAGCAATCCTTACTTTGCAAAAAACCATCCTACTGTTTCCTGAGTATTTTATCAGGTGAGGTGTTCTGAAGTGAGTTATAGAAAGTGTAGTATAGTAGGGTGTGAACTGTAGTTTCAATAGTCCCTTGTCATCAGGAGCACAGTCTGAGCTTGTATGGAATTATTTTATGTTAGCTCTCCAAAACTGCTATGGGAAGTGCACTGCAGCATGCTAAAATTAGTGCCCTTCAGAATCTGGAAACAATTATATGATGTAAGTATCTTGCTGTTTTGAAAAGAGAAGTTTGATTGCTCAAAAAAACACTGTTAG